TTTTTTTTTTTTTTTTTTTTTTTTTTTTTTTTTTTTTTTTTTTTTTTTTTTTTAAGGGGGTTGGGGATGTAACTCAGTGGTAAAGCTTTCCTGGGTTCAGTCCCCAGTACCCATACCCCCACCCCCCCAAATTTTTTTGTTTTCTTGTATATAATAAATCTTTGTAAACGAACCATAGGTACTTGGAAAATCCGTATATTTTGTGTTTTCAATGTGCACAGTTTGATATATAAAATTATATTCACATTACAAATTGTTATTGGGTCCTCTATAATCTTACATAGATTTGATTGCATGAATTATGAAAGAGGAAGTCCTTCTCATTCTGTATCTCACTCTGCATTTCTAATAGTTTTCTTCGTTTGATTGTACTGGGGCTTGAACCCAGAGGAACTTTACCATTTACCTACATCCCTATCCCTTTTATTTTTTATTTTTTAGACACAGGGTCTCTCTAAGTTGCTTAGGGCCACACTGATTGCTGACCTGGAACTTGTAGTCCTCTTGCCTCTACTTCCCAGTCACTGGGATTATTGGCATGCACCACTGCACTACCATACTCAGCTTTAAGGCAAGAATTGGTGTCAGCTAACTAGTGGAGGTGCTATGTGCTATTTCTGGGAAAGTATTTCCATTGAGAGCCTCTTATATGAATTATTTCAGTCTTAATGTTAGTGTGAACATGGGGTACATGTAGAAATACAAGGAATTTCTTGTGGGGTTTTTAGAAAGTCCTTGAGGTAGTACTTACCTGAGATAGTCTGGATTGAGTTCTTTCCCTTTTCCCAGATTGTTTTGTCTCAGTCTGACAAAAATGATTTCATCTTGGTGTCAGGAACCTTAGAAAACAGTCAAATTTTTCATTTTATAAATGAGATAATTAAAGCCACAGATGTGATTTGATACTCCCAAGATAATATTGGTAGTGTCAGAGCTATGATTAAGAATACTGTATAATTTATTTATTGATTCCTGGATAGTTGCTTTTTCTGATGTTTCCATTTGCCTTTGCTAAACGTTGTTAAACCAGTTCCACTCTTTCTTTGGAAATAATCCAGTCACCATACTTTTATAAAATAGCTCTGGGATATTAGAATTCAGACTCAAAACCAGAAAACTTGGAACAAGTTCTGGCTTCCTTACTAAATAACCCCAGTTTCCTTCTTTTTAGGATGGAAGTAATAACCCTTACATATCTCAGTGTTTTTTCATGGCCAAAATCAGATAGTGTATGTTAATACAGAAAGTGTCAAAAGTATTACTAAACGATGTAATTCCCTCCTAATTTAATTGTTAGAATTAACATATATTTCCCATTACCTCATGAAAGTTTCTTAGAGTACATGAACACTCTGACATGTGGATGAATTTCAGATCCTGAAAGTTGAGTTGTAAAAATTATAGGAGGCTGTCTACTTGAGACTGGGTAATTAATAAAGAGGTTTGCTTTGACTCATAGTTGTCGAAGTCTGAGAGCATAGCATTGGTATCTCCTTCTCTTTTGGTGAGGGTCTCATGGCAGAAGAGACTTCAGGTGTAAGAGACATACAGAAAGTGCCAGTTCACTTCTTAAGAACCTACTCTGATTGTAACTAACCCACTATCAAGGAAACTACATTAATCCCTTTGTGAGGGTGGAGGCCCATGTCTTTCTTACTTTAAAGGTCCTGACATCTCTCAATACCATTACACTGAAGACCAAGCCTTAGCATGAATTTTGGTGAAGATAAACCATACTCAAACCATAGCAGAAGCTGTTGTTTTGGACTAAACATCCTAGACAACTGATAAAACTAAAAATCAAAATGGAATTACTCATATTAAATTTTTATATTGCCAAACTAAAACCAAGTTGTTACCTGACTTTCCAAGAAATCAGGAGAGGCAGAAAGTCCAGTTTCCCAATCAGGCCAGTTTCAGTCAGCATAATGATGAAATTCTTTATGCTTTTATCCTTACCCCATCCCCAAAATAACTTGAAGTAGTCTGATATTAACTAAGCAGTTATATTTCTGTGTTCTGTCTTCCTGTCTTAGCCTTGTTATAAGGAAAGTAATTTTGAAATAACTGACCCACTTTTTGTTCTTTGTTTCTGCTTTCTGCAGCCCCTTTCTCTCTACTCTGCCCTTTGGAATACTTATTCTATTTTATGAAATGAAATGTTGCCTGATTATAGAATTGCGAATAAAGCTAATTAAGATTTTTAAATTTGGGCTGGGGATATAGCTCAGTTGGTAGGTTGCTTGCCTCATATGCACAAGGCTCTGGGTTCAATCCCCAGCACCATAAAAAAAAAATCTTTAAATTTGCCATATTTTTTAATAAATTGTTTATGTTGATGATGTTGTTTAATATCACATAAACCACTGAAATGAGCTCAATGACAAGGTAATTATTATTATTATTATTTTGTGTACTGCAGAGTGTATCCAGGAGTGCTTAACCACTGAGAAAAATCCCCAGCCTTTTTTTGTATTTTATTTAGAGACAGGGTCTCACTGAGTTGCTTTAGGACCTCGCTCAGTTGCTGAGGCTGGCTTTGAACTTGCAATCCTCCTGTCTCAGCCTCCCAAGCCACTGGGACTATAGGAGTGCTCCACCATGCCTGGAAAGATCATTATTTCTATGAAAATTATATTGAATGTCCAGGGAAATTTTGGTAAAGGTGGATTTATTTTTAAAAATACTTTTGGGCTGGAAGTTAGCTCGGGATAGAGCACTTGCCTAGCACGTACAAGGCCCTGGTTTCAATCCCTAGTACTGGGAGTGAAAAAGATTTCAAATTTGGCATGAATGAGACAACTGTAAAGATAAGGAAGCAATTGATGAAGATAATGTAGAAGAATTTTGTGTTTTCATTATTTTGCAAATTTCTTTCAGTGTATATTCCACCTTATTAATGTACTAAATCTGCATTGTTAGATCTATAGTCAGATGTCAGGTTGATATAAGACATATAAATTAAAATTCATTTACATGTCTTGAACAAAAATTGTATCAAATACAGCTTTGTAAATATGAGCTCAGATGTTGAAGTCATATTTGGGCTTGCATTTTGGGTCTTCCACTTAACAGTTATATGGCTTTAGGAGCTGCTTAAACTTTATGATCTTTAGTATCTACATCTGTAAAATAAAGTGGTAATCGTTATAAACATTAAAAATGCATGTGAAGGGCAGGAGATATAGCTCAGTGGTAGAGTGCCTGCTGAACATGCATGAAGTCCTGGGCTCAATACCCAATACTGCAAAAAGAAAAAAGCACATAGAGCTAGAGACGTAGCTCAGTAGCAGAGTGTTTGCCTAGCATGTGTAAAGCCTTAACTAGGTTCAGTTCCTGGTACCATAAAAACAATAACAACAAAAAATGCTTATGAAGAACGTGGTGGCACACGCCTATAATCCCAGCGGCTCAGGGGGCTGAGGCAGGTGGATCATGAGCTCAAAGCTAGCCTCAGCAAAAGTGAGGTGCTAAGCAGCTCATTTTGACCCTGTCTCTAAATAAAATATAAAATAGGTCTAGGGATGTGGCTTAGGGGTTGAATGTTCCTGAGTTTAATCCCTGGTACCTGTGAGAAAAGAAAAAAAAGAAAAAAAAAAAAAAGAACATAACACAGTGCCTGACATAAAGTCTGTATCCAACCTGTGTGTTGCATTTATTTTTAATATTTTTGTTGTTATTGTTGTAGATGGACACATTTTTAATTTATTTTTATGTGGTGTTGAGGATTGAACCTAGTGCCTCACACATGCTAGGCAAGCACTCTATCACTGAGCTACAACTCTAGCCCCTGTGCATTGCATTTTTCTAATTGAAATAAAATTATATTTCTAAGTAAGAATAGCTTCTGGACTGGGGATATAGCTCAGTTGGTAGAGTGCTTACCTCACACACACAAAGCCCTGATTTCAATTCCCAGCACCTCCAAAAAAAAAAAAAAAGAATAGTTTAATGAACAATATTTTATATTAGCGGAATTAGCATTAGAATGAACCGGCCAGCTTCTATCAGACAGATATCAAATGTTCCATGAAGGTCATTCTTAATTATGCCAATGTAAAGGTATCCCTTCCTCCTGAGTCTATGCTTCCTTATTAGAACTGTTAACAAAATTCAGCTAAATAATGTTTATAATCATTGTTCTTACTCTCTACCTATGATGGAAGTTATTTGGGGCCAAGGATTAGATCATGTGTTGTATCCCAGACTGTAGTATAGTGCCAAGCACGTAGAGAGTACTTATTAAATGTCTGTTAAATAAAATGAGTATTTTAGGTTACTGAGAGGGATCAAATAATGATTAGGTGAGAGTTCATTTTTAGAAAACCATAATTTTGCCATACAGTGCTATATGCCTATTATCTCAACAGCTCAGAGGCTGAGGCTGGAGGATTACAAGTTAAAATCCAGCCTTAGCAATTTAGTTAACTCCAACCAGCTTAGTGAGACCTTATCTCAATAAAAATAAAGGACCTGGGGTTATAGCTCAATGGTAGAGCCTTTGCTTGGCACACGTGAGACACTGGGTAAGATCCTCAGCATCACATAAAAAAAAAAAATAAAGATATTATGTCCATCTTAAAAAAAAAAACTTTTTGAAAAAGGGCTGGGGTTGTGGCTCAGTAGTTAAGTACCCCTGGGTTCAAGTCCTAGTACACACACACAAAAGCATGATTTAATGTCGTAAGCTAATTTTTTTAATATTTATTTTTTAGTTGGACACAATATCTTTATTTTATTTATTTTTATATGGTGCTGAGGAGCGAACCCAGGTCCTCACACATGCTAGGCGAGCTCTCTACCACTGAGCCACAACCCCAGCCCTCGTAAGCTAATTTTAGCATTTGAAATATTAATAGTATATGGTATAGCAAAGAGAAGTCCAAATCAAAGTATTCTTTATCTTTTTTTCACAGTATTGTTTTTGGGGTGGGTGTATAGCTGTGTGGTAAAATGCTTTTCTACCATTTGTAAAGCCCTGGATCAGTCACAAAAAATATTATCTTTACCTATCTCAAAACAAACTATAAATGAACACCAATAGATTCTGATTAAAAATCAAAGATTTTTAGTAATTTTTATTTTCTCTTCTAGGGTCTTCCAAACAGTGTCTCATATGAAAACAGTGAGAAAGTCAGAAATTATAGGTAAATATATTATTGCAGTCTCTGCTAATCTGTTTTCTTTAAAATTTTACTATGACTATCTAACCAGATAATCAATATAATATATTATCTTATTGTTTAAAAAATACAGCTCAAATCTGGGAATGGTGGCACCCACCTATAATTCCAGTTGTGAAACTGAAACAGAAGGATTTGGAGTTCACAGTAAAGCTCTGGGAATGTAGCAATACTTTATATTAGCAATACTTTATACTCTGCCTCAAAAAAAAAAAAACAAAAAACAAAGTATAGGGCTGGGGTTGTGGCTCAGTGGTAGAACACTCACCTAGCAGGTGTGAGGCCCTGGGTTCAATTCTCAGCACCACATATAAATAAACAAAATAAACATTAAAAAAAAAAAATTGTGGGCTGGGGATGTGGCTCAAGCGGTAGTGTGCTCTCCTGGCATGCGTGTGGCCCAGGTTCGATCCTCAGCACCACATACCAACAAAGATGTTGTGTCCGCCGAGAACTAAAAAATAAATATTAAAAAAATATTCTCTCT